TAAATTTACTCTCATTATTACAGTCCGTTATTATCCACCGCAGAGTCAGCCCGTCACGAGACACTCGTGTGTAGTCCGGCGGCGGCGGCGGCGGCGGCGGCGGCGGTGGTTGCATTAACCGTCGCATCGGTGATCGCTTATAACTGCCGTCGAGCATCGGGAGTTCAAGCCGTCCGTCAAGACAGTCTAAGTGCTCTCTGCTCTCTATCCGCGCGCGCTGTCGGCTTCCCGAAATAGCTCGCGCGCGCTAATTATAGACGCAGGAGGCTGTTGCTGCGCGTGCGTGCGCGTGCGTGCGCGTGCGTGTGCGTGCGCGCGGCCAGCTACCACCGCTAATTCTCGATGTGAGCGGCAAGCAGAGGCAGCGAGCGTGTGGCGGCGGTGTAGCTTTTCACAACAGCGGCGACCGGCTGCGCGCTGCCAGCAGACGACGCACATCTCGGATTGCTGCGCCGACGGTTCAGCGCGCAGTTGATGCGTTTTTAATGCGGTTGAAATCCCGCCGCCTGGCGGTGTGCCGCCCCCCCCCTCCCCCCAGGGGCCCGCTCTGATGCGCTGACCTGTCACGGGTCACCTGGCTGGCTGTGGCTAACATCAGGGATGAAGCCCACTGTAGTGATTCTGCGTTGTTGACGAAAGAGCAATAGATGCATAGCCGAATAAAGAGTGAGAGAGAGAGAGAGAGAGAGTCAGACAGAAAGACAGACCGACCGACAGACAAAGATAGAGATGTAAGAAGATGGGTGGAGAGTGAGTCATAGTGAGATAGAGGAAGAGATATGTAAAGCGATAGATGACGAGAGAGATACAGAGGGATATTGATATGTAGAGAGATAGATAGAGACATAATATACACACAGGATAGCAAGGGGAGGGAACGAGAAATCTATCACATGGAAACGGCAAAGGAAGATAGAGACCGAGACAAAAACAAAGAGAAAGCGTGATATACATCAAAATTAAGCAAAAAACGACAGGATAGTGTGTGACCGAGGGAAACTCCGAAAAAGGAAGGAGGGAGCAAGTGAGAGCAAGAGGAAGAGAGTGCGTGAGAGAGAAAGAGAGAGAGAAAGAGAGAGCAAGGAAGCAGAACAGACGAGGAAACAAGATAGATAAGAAGGAAAGCATGTATATGCGTATGTAAAGCACGTGCGCCCGCTTGTGTTATTGAGCTGTGAATGTGTACCCTTTCTTCTAAGCAAGCAGATCTATTATTTTATTACGTTTTCTATGTTTTTTCCACGACGCCGGCTAAATATTTACAAGTATCGCCTGGCTGGCGACAACGCACGGGTACATTCGTCTAATAAAATAAGCGGCCGCAAACACGAGAGCTCTAGCCACGGCTGTTTGCAGTGATAGGCGCCGCGGCTTCAGTGCCAGTAAACTGTCGGCTGTAAACTCTGACGATTCTTGGTTCATTCCGAAAAGTCCTCGGACAAAGACCGCTTTGAAAAGCTCCGATTATTATAAAACTCTGGTACCAGAGTGGAATGAACAGTAATATAATGAAAGGCGCGCGCGCGCGCGCGCGCGCGCGCGCGTCGTGTGTGTGTGTGTGTGTGTGTGTGTGTGTGTGTGTGTGTGTGTGTGTGTGTGTGTGTGTGTGTGCGTGTGTGTGTGTGTGTGTGTGTGTGTGTGTG